CAACTTAGAAGGTCAGGAGGAAAAGTCTGTCTCTGCAGTGCTGAGAGAGAAGCACAGTAACGTTCCAGCCCCACTCCCCAAACTTGGTCTCAAGGCGGCGGCTGCCTCCTGAGCTTCTGGCCCATAGACAGAGGGGGAATCAAGTGGCTGATCAGAGGGGGATTGCAAGGATCTCTCTGCTGGTGCAAGATTCTCTTGCTTTGCCCATGCTTGGATCTGGGTCACAGTTCTGGGTGGCAGTCCTGGGGCAAGGAGGAGTGTTGGCATGGTGGAGCTTGTAGTAGCTGTGGAGAAGAAATCCTCACAGTTCCAAGACAGAAAAGAGTGCTTGTGGTCACTCATAGATCAGAGCACAGGCCAGGAAAGGAATAAACCTGCACCCTTGATCATAGCAACTTTGAAGAACTGAAAATGTACAGGTCCCTAGAAATATCTCTGAAAACAGCTGCACAAAACCCCTGAAGCTTGAGACAGTACATTCTCCATACTGGAAACAGACCCCTACCTTAACAAAGAGTTTATAACTCAAGTAATTGGCTGGGATCATGAGCAAACAGTGAAAAAAGAGTCAGACTATATTATCTTACTTTGGTGACAAAGAAGATCAAAACATACAACCAGAAGAAGACAACAAAGCCAAAGCTCCTACAACCAAAGCCTCCAAGAAAAATATGAATTGGTCCCAGGCCATGGAAGAGCTCAAAAAAGAATTTTGATAAGCAAGTAAGAGAAGTAGAGGAAAAACTAAGAGTGATGCTAAAGGAGACCCCCCAAAAAAATCCTGAAGAAAATAATACCTTAAAAAATAGCCTAACTCAAATGGCAAAAGAGGTCCAAAAAGCCAATGAGTAGAAAAATGCCCTACAAAGCAAAATTGGCCAAACAGAAAAGGAAGTCCAAAAGCTTACTGAAGAAAATACTTCCTTAAAAATTAAAATAGAGCAATTGGAAGTTAGTGACAATTTGAGAAATCAAGGCACTAATCCAAAAGAATGAAAAAATAGAAGAGAATGTGAAATATCTCACTGGAAAAACAATTGACCTGGAAAACAGATCTAGGAGAGAGAACTTAAAGACTATTTGACTGCATGAAAGTCATGACCAAAAAAAGAGCCTAGACATTATCTTTCAAGAAATTATCAGGGAAAACTGCTCTGATATTCTAGAGTCAGAAGGCAAAATAGAAATTGAAAGAATCCACTGATCACCTCCTGACAGGGATCCCAAAAGGAAAACTCCTAGGAATATTGTAACCAAATTCCAGAATTCCCAGGTCAAGGATAAAATATTGCAGGCAGCAAGAAGGAAACAATTCAAGTATTGTGGAAACACAATCAGGATAACACAAGATTTAGCAGCTTCTATATTAAGGGTCCGGAGGGCATGGAGTATGATATTCCAGAGAGTAAAGGAGATAAGCCTATAACCAAGAATCACCTACCCAGGAAAACTGAGTATAATCCTTCAGGGTAAAAAATGGTCATTCAATAAAATAGGGGACTTTCAAGCATTTCTGAGGAAAAGACCAGAGCTGAATAGAAAATTTGACCTTCAAATACAAGATTCAAGTGAAACATGGAAGAGGTAAACAGGAAAGAGAAATCATAAGAGACTTATTAAGGTTGAACTGTTTACAATCCTGCATGGAAAGATGACATTTGTAACTCATGAGTCCTTTGTCAGTATTAGGGTAGTGGGAGGGAAAAATTATATGTATGTATAGATAGAGAGATAGAGGACACAGGGTGAGTTGAAGATGAAGGGGTGATATCTGGAAAATAAAATTAAGGGGTGAGAGAGGATTATACTGGGAGAAGGAGAAAGGGAGAAGTAGAATGGGGCAAATTATCTCACATTAAACAGAAAAGAAAAGACTTTAACAGTGGAGGGGAAATGGGGGAAAGTGAGAGGGAATGAGTGAATCCTATTCTCATAGGATTTGACTTAAGGAGGGAATAACATGCACAATGGGGTATGGAAATCTGTCTTACCCTACAGGAAAATAAGGGGGGAAGGGGACAAGAGAGCAGGGGGTTGATCGAAGAGGGGGAAGATTGTGGGAGGGCTTATCAAAAGCAAACACTTCTGAGGAGGGACAGGGTCAAAAGAGAGAATAGAATAAATGGGGGGTAGGATAGAATGAAGGGAAATATACTTAGTTTTTCACAACAGGACTACTATGGAAGTGTTTTGCATGACTACAGATCTATAACCTGTAGGGAGATGCTTACCTCTTCAATGAGGGTAGTTAGGGACAGAGGAAGGGAGAAAATTTGTAACCCAAAGTTTTAAAAACATATGTTAAAAATTTTTTTAAAAAGAGATTCTTTTTTTGATCATAGCTTTCAGGTAGTCCAAAATTTTTTATTTTCTCTTCTTGATCTGCTCTCCAGATCAGTTGATTTTTTTAATGAGATGTTACACATTTTCTTCTATTTTTTCATTCCTTTTATTTTGTTTCATTATTTCTTGGTATCTTAAAACATCATTTGCTTCTGCTTCCCTAGTTCTAATTTTCAAGGAGTTGTTTTCTTCCTTAAGATTCTGGATGTCTTTTTCTAGTTGGTTGACTTTCTTTTCATATTTTTCTTGGTTTTCTTGGATTGTTCTTATTTTTTTTCCTAATTTTTTCTCAACCTTTCTTATTTAATTTTTAAAGTCATTTTTAATTTCTTCCAAGAACTCTTTCGGGCAGGTGACCATTAAATGTTACTCTTTGGGGTAGGAGAGGCTTTTCTTGCTTCAGCACCCTCCTCTGAAAACAAACCCAGGTCTTCTCTATCCCCACAGTAGCTATCTATGGTTGGGTTCTTTCTCCTTTGCTCACTCATTTTTTTTTTGGCAGCTTATTATTATAATCACCTCTAGCCCCGGGGTGTGGGGGATCGTGTTTCTGGTTTCAGGTCCTTCTTACTGTTGTTTTCTGAGTTTTGTCCTGGAACCAACCTCTGCACTCCTTCCCCCCTCCCCCCAGCCACACTATGCTGGAAATGCTCTTGTTCCCTGAGGACCCTCCAGTGGTTATAACCTTCAGTTCTCCCCTCTGGCCTGGAACCAAAACCAAGAACTCAGCTCTCCTGTATGTGCCCACAGCCAGCAGCATCCCCACCCCACTACTTCGGCACTCACCAGGTATATGCTGGCTTATTCTTCCTTCAGCCACTGCCAGGCAACCATGTCTTGGCAGCACAGCTGAGACTGGCATCCCTCTGCAACAGACAGTCTTTCAATATTCCCCTGCTGAGATGTCTGAACTCCTACATTGTTTGTAAGGTGAGAATTCCTGTGGCTGAGGTTAAGGTTGCTTCCCAATCCAGCTGCCACAAAGGGTTGTTGTTGGTTGTTTCAGAGGAGATAGCCTGAGGGTGTTTACACTTTACTCTGGCCAAACCTCCATCCCTGGGGTCTTTCCTCAGGTCTTCTGCAGTTGTCCCAGGAGAACCACTGCTCTGCCCCAACTCTTGTTTATATTTGCCACTCTATGTTCGCCCTGAAGTGCTATTTTGCATTCTTTGTGGAGGAAATCTGAAGAACTTGGAATTTTCTGACCTCCTCTGCCATCTTCCCAGAATTCCCCCATGGAAATCAAGATTTTTAAAAATAAATGCAACAACTACTTTACATCTAATAGGAAAAAATGAAAGATGATTTTTAAAAATTAGGAATGTGATAATTCCATTGAATTCAGCTTTCATAAGACCAGATATGGAAGAACATATTCAGTCCTGACCTCATTTTAAATAGAAAATCTGGAGAACATCTAAAGGAGGATAATCAAGCTGGTGGTCAGTTAACAAGGATTTTGAGTGCTTACAATGTGTCAGGCATTACAATATAATTTGGTATGCTAAGAAAAGCAAAAAAACTCCCTGTCATCCATGAGCTCACATTCTATTGAGGGAAACACCATGTAAATAACCAGGCACAAACAAATTACAGACAGAGTAGATGGAAGGTTATCTTAGAGAAGAAGCTACTCTTAGCTAGAGAGGAAAGGTTCCTTGCAGAATGTGGGATTTGAGTTGTCTTGAGGAAAGCGTAGAAAACTAAGCAGCAGAGGAAGGGGAACAAGGCATTTCAGAACTGTGAAACAGCCACTGTAAAGACATAGAAGATGGAATGTTATGTGTGGGGAAAGGCAGACAGTCCAGTATAGCTAGATTAGACACTGCATGGATGGGAGGAAAGTGTAAGACTAGAAAGGTAGGAAAAGAACAGGTTGTGGAGATTTTTATTTTTTTTATTCTTTATTGATATCTTTTCTTTTTCATGAATTAAATTTCTTCTAGTATCTCACCTCTCATGAAGAGTTAAAACATAGGGGAAAAAAATACAATTTTTCAGGTATATTATGCCACAAAAGTAGTCACTGATAAAAGGAAAGTCCCCACATACATCAAAATATTTGTAGCACCAATTTTATGGTGGCAAAAACTGGAAAGAAAGCAGACGCCCAGTGATTGAGTAATGGCTAAACAAAGTATGGCACATGAAGGTAATGGAATATTACTGTGATGTAAAAAATATGGCTAATACAGAAAAAGATTTACATGATCTGATACAGAGTGATTATAGCAGAGAGAATAAAATAACACACACATTGAGTATGAGAATGTAAATATAAAGAACAACCCCCATATATCAATAAAAAATGTGTTGCCAGATTCCAAAAAACTATCACAGACTCAAAGAAGAGCAATGAAAAGACATATCTCCCTACTCCTCTGCAGCAAAGGTAGGTCCACATTTGTGGAACATTGCAAGCATTTTCAGACCTTTCCAATCAACTTTTAAATTCACAACTTTAACCCATCAAAATAAATATATGCCTTTTCTAAAGCACATCCATCGGTATCATTTTATCCTAATAATTATATCGGTAGAATATTAATTCCTTATGGGCAAAGATAGTTTTATTTTTGTCCTTGAATCTCCAAAACTTATTGCAGTGTCTGAGACATGATATATACTTAATAAATACTATTTATATTAAGTTGAATTCATGAAAAAGAATGTTTCCTCCTCATCAGTCTTCTCAGGGCCCCCTTTACCTCATTGTTCCTAAGACTGTAGATCAGGGGGTTCAACATGGGGATCATTACAATGCAGAAAACAGACATCACTTTATTCTCATCTGTTGAGTAACTGGATTTAGGCATCACATAAATGAATGTAGTGGTCCCACAGAACAGAGTGACTGCTGTGAGGTGAGAGGTGCAAGTTGAGAAAGCTTTGACTCTGCCCTCAGCAGAGTTTATCTTCAGGACAGAGAAGAGAATGTATATGTAAGAGAACAGAATAAGTAACACTGTGATCACAATCACTAACCCAGTAGAGGCAGCAGGAAGAACATCAGCAAGATTATCTTCAGAGTAGGAAAGCTTCAAAAGTGGTGAATAATCACAGAAAAAATGATTGATCTTATTGGGTCCACAGAATGACCGATTCAATAAGCAGCCAGTGAAGATCCAAGCATTTACACAGCCACCTAGGTAGGATGTGATGAGTAAAAGAGTGTAGACCCTAGCAGACATGTTGGTGGAGTAGAGTAGGGGGTTACAGATAGCCATATACTGATCATAGGCCATCATAGCCAGCAGGAAGCACTCAGCTGTCCCAACGGTTGCTGTACAGAACATCTGGGCCACACAGCCTCCAGGAGGGATTATGGTTTTGTACACAAGGAAGTTCTTGAGCATAACAGGTGTGACAGATGAGGAATATGCAGAGTCCACAAAAGCCAAATGACTAAGGAAAAGGTACATTGGAGTGTGAAGTTGGGAGCTCTTTCTGATCAATATGATTATGCTAAGGTTACCAATTAATGTGACTGCATAGACACCTAAGAATATCACAAAGAGGATGACACGAAGGTTTGGATCATCTGTTAACCCCAAAATAATGAATTCAGTCACAGCAGTGCAGTTATTGCCAGACTTGTCTTGGAAAGAATGCCTAGTAGACAGAAGAAAAGGAGATTAAAATAGAATACAGAACTAAGATTTGGATATGTCAGGAAACATTCACTGGCCACCTCCTACATGCCCATCATACTCTTCTACTCCAATACTTTGCTCCTATGCACCATGGCAGAGTGACAATAAGCAAAACAGAGATAAAAAATTAATTTCCTCATAATTCTTCCCAATGAACCAATAGTATTGTAAGATTTGCCAATTTTGCCATTGTGAGAGTGTAAAAAAATTATGTAAAAGAGTGAAGAGGATAGTTGAATTCCTAATATGGAAACCTTTCTTAAAGACATGCTGAGACAATATCCAAATGCGCAAATGCTGTTCTGCCAACTATCCCTTCCAAAGAAACTGAGTCTGCTTTGTGATTCCTAAGTTCTCACAAGACCACACTCCACATCTGAAGGTGGTATCCACCTCATGCTAAATGAGTATAAGGAAAGTTTTGGTTTCCAAGATAGCACTTGTGCTCTAAAGTCACAAAAGAAAATGAATGAGGAATCTGAATTCTAAGACTTCTCATTTTACTTTGCTCCTAGAACTTGCCATGACTACAAAGGGCTATTATCAGGCTAGATATTGCCAGCCTGAAGAACTATGGGAAATTTCCCATGGGAACTTTGCTGTTTCCAGGTAAAACAATGGAATGCTGTAACCGTATCCTGTTTACCTATTGCTTCCTTCAATTGCAGAATAGCTGAGTAAACTCTAGTATAGGAAAGTAGTGGCAAATTATTGTGCCACAAGAAGTGGTGAATATGACTGCTTTGGAGTAATATGGGAACACTTTCATTAACTGATGCAGAACAAATTCAGTAAAACAATTAATGTGATGACCACAATAATCATGATAAGGGAAACGACTTTGAAAGACCTCAGAACTTTTACCAAAATAGTGACAAATTATGTCTTCAAAAGACCAATGAGGAAATATTACCTACCACTTCTTGGCAGAGAGGTGATGGACTTGAAAAGATTAAGATTGATCCTATACCATTTATTTATTGATCTATTTAAAATTAATTGGTTTTATCTTGTAACTGCTTTTGACCTGTAATTACCTAAGTCATGATTCCTTGTCTCTGAAATCATTTCAGAATTCAGCTGGCCTGTAATGGGTTAATTTTAGAAATTCACAGTACCTCCTAATCACTAATCTATTCTTGCCTCAGAGAATTTAGTTGTTTAGGGAATATATGGGAAAGCAAGGGAGTGGGACCTGAGCTCTCTATAGCATGAAGTTATCTGTCAAGGATGTCTAGTTTCCTGTCCAAAAGTTTGGGCCACTATCTTGCACTTGTACCCATATAATGAGCATTTCTTATTCTCATGAGAAAATAAGAATAGTTATTGCTAGACCTAATTGCCAACCTTCCAACCAATCATGTTGTTCCCTGCACCTCTACTCTGTAACCAATCACGTGGTCCTTAAGCCTATGACATCATCTACCCTATTCAGATTTTTGTTTTATATTTCCCAAAAATTTATAAAGGAGAAATATCCTCTTGCTCAGGGACTTGGACATTAATTGAGGTGATCCACTGATCAATTTACTGATAGGCAACATGCCCCTGCTAATAAATATCATCTTGCTCAGAGAGTTATCTCCATTTCAAACATGACAGACCAGAGGTACAGAATGATATAAGCATTCTATGACATGGCTGAACTGTTGATTTCTATTCCTTGACTATCACTTACAAGGGCGGCTTCCACTGTGAGTGGGGAGAGATAGCTGAGTGGATAGTGATAGACATGGCAGAGGAAAAGAGTAACAATAAAACATTTTCAGAATGCAAAAAAAAAAAACCAAAAAGGTAGTATAATTTTATTAATATATGTGTTATATTTCTTTTAAAGACCAAACTGTCTTCAAATGTTTTCATTTGCTCATCTTTGTTAAGTTCCAAATGTAAGAAATTGTCTTAAATATTACTTTTTCCTGAAATGTTCTTATTACTCCCAACTCTAAGCTCACTTTTCTTCTGAATCCAATAAGAAAGATAGAAAATATTGAGATACTATTCAGCTGAGGAAGAAACATTATATCAGTCATTTATGGGTCTATCATCCACCTCTTTCTCTATGACTGACCACAAGAAAAAATATCTTAACTAATCAAAAATTTGTAGAGTGTTGTGTGAATTTTTCAACTCCTCCTACTTCACCCTTCCCTCTCAAGAGAGGACTTGGAATCCAACTTTTCCAACAAAAGAAAGACTATCCCTATGAGATTCCCTTTCTTTTCTTTTCTACAGTTCAAAACTCTTCTGTTATCACCCCCTATTATCATTGCAACAATCTCTGAGAAAGAGATAGTCCTTCTACTATACAGGGCCAATTCCTCTAATTGTTACATTAATTCCATCTCTCTTATTTCAATGCTAAGCTTTCCCCATTGAAAAACTCCCTTTTAATTTTTAATCTTTTTATCTATGGACTTTCCCCTTTTTCCTAAAAATTGGCTCAGATCTGCCCAATCCTGTAAAATTTTCTATTTCTGGACATCTTTTCAAGTTATCATACTATACCTCCTCCCTTTTCCAATAACCTCTCAGGAAAAAATTTAATCTTGTTTAATCCACTTCCTTTCCTCCTCACATGTTAACCCATTATAGTCTTGTTTCTGATCCAATCACTCCACAGGAAATATTCTCTACAAAGTTACCAATAATTTATTAATTGGAAAATGATAATATTTTCATAATCTTAATTTAAATACCTAGGGGGTAGGGATTGTTGCAGACTTTGTATTTGTGTCATTAGCACCTAGGGAAGTATCTGAAAAATAGTTGATGCTAAATAAATACTGATTTATTGATTGATTCTTGGCCTCTACCAAGTGCATAACTCCTCATGAGTTTTCACGACACTCTGATCCTAGTACTATTGTATCTGTCTTACATTTCCTCCTCAGCCTCCTTTGCCAGATCATAATCCCTGTGCAGTCTCCTAACCTTACAAGTGCCTCTGCTTCTGTTCTAGACCATTTCCTCTTTTTTATATCTTTTAAATGAGCTCATTAGGTTCAATTACCATTAACTTCTCTATTCAGATGAATCCCAAGTCTATATATCCACCACTGAATTCCAATCCATAGACCACCAATATTTGGACATTTATATACAGACATCTCAAAGGCATTTCAAATTCAACAAGTTCAGAAGAGAATTTATATTAATGTCAACATTCAATTTAAAAAATATTTCCATAATTTTCTTTCTGTTCAGAGCCTCACTATTCTTCTACATGCCCTAGTTTGCAATGCTGGAATTAATCTCTACTCTTCTCTCTATCTTGCCTTACCCAACCAGTCAGTTGCCAAATCTTACCACTTCTACATATATCTCTATTCACTTGGACTATTGCAAAAGACTCTTAATTAAAAGTCCAGTCTCAATGTCCTCTAAACTATCTTCTAAAAACCTACAAAAATGTTCTTCCTCAAACATATGACTGATCATATCACTTGCTTACTAAATCCTTAAACAGATATCTTATTGACTTGAGGACAAATAATAATTCCTAAGCTTGATATTTATACTCCTATGCCACGTTATCCAGTAGGATAGGACAGGACACTCTGAATAGTGTGCACATCAAAATTTTAGTTGAATGGAAGACAACAATGTATTTTGAAAACCTCAGGTCTCATTCGTGTTGGTATCATAATAAAAATAATCACATAACAGAAATATTAATATCTCAATAGGAAAATTTTAATTTCACAAATTACTTTTGTCCCACAATTTTTAGAAGAATATATTGTTATGCTAATTTTACAGATGAGGTAACTAAGGGTCACAGAGGTGCAGTCACTTAAACACAATCACAATCAGAGCCAGTAAGACTCAGATGTGGGACTCAAACCCACAATTGAAGCCACTTCTCCTTGCTTCAAGTTCAGTTCTCTTTCCATTACATCAACCAACAAATATATCAGTGAAATTCCTCACTTAAAGCTTCAATTTGAGAAGTGGAGGGAAAGTAATAAATAAAATAAATCTATACACAAAAGTTTTTACCTAAGTATTCCTTACCTAACTATGTTTGATGATATTCTTACTGTTTATAGTGATGTTTCAGGATATATATCACCTATGAGAGATTAGAATTTTATTTACTAACATTCTATAACAAGGCTCAATGCATATACTTCACTTCTTAATCTTTAACATTATATGGCCCCATAAGGGACCAGAAACAAGAAGACCAAAATCAGGAATGAATCTTACTCATGGGGGGGGAGAGAGAGAGAGAGAGAGAGAGAGAGAGAGAGAGAGAGAAAGAGAGAGAGAGATGCATTAAAGCCCAATGCAAAACTGAAATCAACATAAAGTTTGACATGTCAAGAAGAATACACAGGCTTCCCTGAAATGAGCTACAAATCAGATAATCAGATCTAAGAATTTTTATACTAATACCAAGAATAGCAGTGATATCTATTGATACAACTAGTTGATTACATTAGGCTCCATTTATTATCTTTGCATAGTAGCACCATATTTATGTTGGGTTTCATAACATTTGGGAGATAACCCCTTGAGTACCTTAGCACCAAATGTAGCCACCATCACTAAAATGCCTTTTGAAATCCATTGGGATTGAGAAAATTACAAACACACCAGTGAGTTGTGTGAGAAATCCTCTAAATTCTCAGGAGGCTTCATCATTTTTATTTATGTTTGTACTGTATTTTTAAAAAGTAAAAATAAAATAAAACAAGATTGGATAGCACCATAGCCAAAGTAGTATGATCTGCCATGGAAGTTCTCAAAAATTGTTCTAAGATCAACATGTGGCAATTGTGGTTGTGACAGTGTTCACTAACTATGAAATTTGGTCCCGATCAAATTATCAGATTCATTTTGGTCAGGCCATAAGACACACTGATTACACATATACAAAATTGAAGTCGAAAGACCAACTATGAAAGTCAGCTTACTACAAATCACAGATCCTAGAACAAAGGCACTATTTATAGTGAAGACAATTATCCATGTGTAAAGGCAGTACTGACAATCTTTTCAATCCTGATAAACTTTTGCTGGAATGTAAGAACATATATAATATATGACACAAAAATTTTCCATAAGACATTTGACATGTGCTGTGAGTCAGCAGAGGGCCAGGAAATCCCATAATGCTCTCTATATCTTGCTTGGTCATAAATTATTTACTTATCCATATATCTGAGAAGAAAACTATTCCATGCCTCACTGAACTTACTCATAATATCACCATTTATGTCTTACAGGGATCTCTTTGCTAGCACTGGGGGCACGACTCTGTTGCTTTGCTAATACTTGGATCTGGGTCACAGTCTTGGGTTGCAGTCTCAGGGCAAGGAGGAGCAATAGCACAGCAAGGCTTATGGCCACACTGTAGCAGGGATCTTTGTCACAGTTCCAAGGCAGAAAAGAGTGTTTGTGGTCACTCACAGACCAGAGCTTAGGTCTTGAAAGTAGTAAACACCTCTACTTAGATCATACCACCTAGGAAAAAATGAAAACTTACAGGTCCCTAGAAGTACCTCTGAAAAGAGCAGCACAAAATCTCTGAAGCTTGGAATGGTGCTTCCTCCACCCTGGAAGGAGAGCCCTACTTTATCAAAGAGTTAAAACTCAAAAATGAGCACACAACAGAACAAACTCTGACCATAGAAAACTACTATGGTGATAAGAAAGCTCAAAACACACACTAAGAAGAAGACAACAAAGTCAAAGCTCTTACACCCAAAGCCTCCAAGGAAAATATGAATTGGTCTCAGGTCATAGAAGAGCTCAAAAAGGATTTTTAAAATCCTAAAGGGAAGTAGAGAAAAAATTGGGAAGAGAAATAAGAGTAATGAAAGAAAATCATGACAAAAGAGGCAATACCTTGGTAAAGGAGGCACAAAAAATACTGAAGAAAATAACACCTTAAAAAAAACTTAATTGACTGATTGGTAAAAGAAGTATAAAAACCCAAATGAGGAGAAAAATGCCCTGAAAAGTAGAATTGGCCAAATGGAAAAAGATTTTTAAAAATTCACTGAAGAAAAGAAAATCTTAAAAAGGAGAATGGGCCAAATGTAAAAGGGGGCACAAAAACTCACTGAAGCAAATAATTCCTTAAAAATTAGAATTAAGCAAGTAGAAGCTAGTGACTTTATGAGACATCAAGATACAATAAAACAAAACCAAAAGAAGAAAAAACAGAAGATAATGTTAAATATCTCACTGGAAAAACAACTGATCTGGAAAATAGATCCAGGAGAGATCATTTAAGAATTATTGGACTACCTGAAAGCCATGATCAAAAAGAAAAAAAAAACAAGGCACTTGGACAGTACCTTTAACAAAATTATCAAGGAAAACTGCCCTGATGTTCTAGAATCAGAGGGGAAAATCAAAATTGAAAGAATCCACTAATCACCTCCAGAAACCAATCCCAAAATGAAAACTCTCAGAAATATTATCACCAAATTCCAGAGCTCCCAGGTCAAGGAGAAAATATTGCAAGCAGACAGAAAGAAACAATTCAAGTGTCATGGAGCCACTGTCAGGAAAAGATAAGATTCAGCAGCTTCTACATTAAAGCATCAGATGGCTTGAAATGTGACATTCTGGAGAGCAAAGGAGCTAAGATTACAACCAAGAATCACCTACCTAGCAAAACTGAGTATAATCCTTAAGGGCAAAAAATGGATATTCAATGAAATAGAGAACTTTCAAGCATTCCTTATGAAAATACCAGAGCTAACTAGAAAATTTGA